TCAAAATAAAATACATTGCCGAGACTTAGATTATTGATTTGCAATTTATGCAAAGCTTTTGCTTCATAAAATTGATTTTCAAGCAAGATATATATTTTATGATGAAAAATATATTCCACATATGTTGAAGTATGTTCCGTTTTCCGTAAGGGAAATATGTTCAAAAATTGACTATAGAATTGCTTTTCTCAATGCATACAACAAAATATGCAGTCCAAAGTTTTATTAAAAAAAGGAACCAAGTGAAAAATACATTTATGTATCTTTCGAATACATTTTGTTCATTACATATGTATTCAAAGAATTTAGAATTCCTTTAAAGAAACTTTTGGAAGATTAATCTGTGAGCTTCTCTCTCCTTTTTATTTACGCCATTTTCCATGTTTTATTGATTCTACTTCTTTCAGCGAGCCCACATTCACATTCTTGGAACTTGATGCAAGTAGATAGGAATTGACACGATCTGCATTTACTTGTTTTCTTTTATAAGCTTTCACGCCAAATTATTTCGAGCGGATAAGAGAGCTTAGATTAGAAAGACAGACTACAACATATTGTTTGCATTTAGGCTTCGTGGAAAAGATGTTGAGTTTCTGTGATTAGAATCACTGACGTTCATACTAGCAGGCCGGGATCCTAAATATAAATTTCAATTTCTTGTGGTTTTAGTTCGCATCTTAATTACCCAAGCTATATTTAGTATATTCTATGTGTATCAATTATTAGTGTCTCAAAAGTAATGACATTATCTTTTTGGATAGTTAGCGCTCACAGACCGGAATGTCTAGTGTCGTAAATGCTGCAATGCGCGCTATATTGTCGAAACGGTACCAAACCATTAGAAATTCTCATGAACAAGTTGTAATAGGTGGTCTGGGAGTAATAGTAGCTAGACAAGATCAATTTTTGCACTTGGACGATGTGTGTCAAAGAATGTCTTTGAGATTGCGACAACCACGAAAGCAATGATTTCCAGGCAAACAATTTAGACAGGACTCTGGGACTGTACGCCACAAACGTCGAACTGTTTGTGTATCATTGATTTGTATGCAAAAGAAAGCTTTATTTGCGTTGGAGTCGAGTATATTAGGAACTGGACAGCTAATCAATGGAGTGATGTAATGCTCTCCGGTGAATCACGATTCAGTTTGCTGAATGAATTACCGTATTTACTCAAATCTAGGCCCACCCGAAATTCTCAACAAGTCTTTGAGGAAAAAATAGTTTAGAACCTGTAATTGCTCTAATTGCCCCATCCTTTTTTTTTATTCGATTCTAATCCGCAACCTATTTTCAGTAGCTTTAAAGCTGGAGAAGAAAGTGCGGCTTAGATTCGAGTAAATACGGTTTTTCTTTTTAGCATAATTTTGAAAGATCGCTGGACGCAAACGCAGGACACGATCTGTAAAACGATGGATGCATTTTGTTGTGGCTGGCGTAACGTCTCCTCACATTTTTGTAGAAGACCCTGTGAATGGAACAAAGTACAGAAATTATGCATTTTTAATAGAACAATTTTCATTTATTTCTGAATTAATTTGAAATCGTTAGTTCGACCCCCTTCCCCTCTAAATGGAAATAAGAAGATTCTTAGAGCAATACACATCATCAAAATTTTCGTGTCGCTCATCCGGTATAGTGGTTAGCGACGCAGGCTGCTGTATCGTTGGGCCTGGTTTCGAATCCCAGGGAAGACATGGATGTCTGTAAATGTATAGTGCCTTCACGGCATGGGGGTACTTTAAATAGCCATCGAGCCGCAAGTCCTCTCGTGAGGTTGGTGGACCCTGACCACCTCCAGGGTGTTCTTCCTCAAAATTGGGGTGAAACCGAGCTAAATCGTTCTGTCACCTGGATGGTGCTCAAAGCTACAGCTAACGACAGGCGTCACTTAGCCCTTTGCCATGATGAATTTCGTGGGCCTTGAACTGGCCTTTGTCGATCAGGTGGCATAAGTAACAATAACAAAATTTTAGTGCAAAATAATAGAATCCTCGACGTAAATTAGTATTTTTAAGAAAAAGTTTTGAGCATTGAACTAGACGTGATACTAATTAGTTATTTAAAAAGTCATAAAATTCTTACCAAAATAAAAACAAGTTTTAAAACACTGAATAATAAAAAAAATCTAAAAGCACTTCAGCGATAAAAATGGGATCAAAACAGGAGGTGGGGGGTAATTTCACATTTTAAGTGTAAAAGTTAACACTTAAACAAGGCCCCTGATGTGTCAGTTAAAACATACTGTTTAAGAACACAAATTAAATATCTTGTTGCTTACTGTACAAAGAAAAAAAGGCTAGCATTTGCCATGTGACGTGCATTCCACAATACGGTGCCTCTCCCAGAGCACGCAACTGGTGAATGAGGACCCATAACTGCAGTGAGAACCATATCTCACACTGCTTTGGTATGTCATCGTAAATATCTCGTCCGGCGTACGATTTCGACAGGTTTTATGTGAAGAAATAGTAACATTGAGATCATACATTAAGTGAGAGCAATTTTCGATACCGACTTGTGAATGGGAGGATAGCGTGTGCTGTGCATTAACTCTTCCTTTCTTTTCCTCATCACATGATTTATAGGCGATGCGTTCGTTGTTTTCTCTCTCGCTTTTATCTCCGCGTGATGATCTCTGAATTTATTCACTTGATTCGGTAAATGGTCTTTTAGATGGCTGATATCTTCCTTTGAAAGTGGAATAGATTTTTCCACTCGATTTCTATTGTCTCCCGTGAAATTGTGTTGAATTCGCTGGAACTGAACGGCCACCTTTATTGGGGATCAGAATGACTTTCTCGCGAAGGTGGGAGAGGGGTGTCATTTATCAACAATTGTTTGACTTTCACAAGAAAGCATTGTATTTTTTTTTATCTTTTTTTCACAGTTCGTTATCTTGGCAATGTCATTTTTCCAATCTTTTAGCGACGATGTCATGCTTCGACTCTTGTTAAGGTATTTATAATAAATCATCTTTTTCTGACCTGGTCACCTTTTTCTGTTGGAAATTTTGCGTTTCTTACATCTTAATATAGAATGAGTTTCTTAAAAAGATTCTTTCAAATTTAAATTTTGTCGGTTAATTGTAGAATTACAAGCTTGATTTTCTTCTCGAATAAGCACGGTTTCACTTAAATTTAGTTTGGTTGTCCTTTTTAACACCCTTTTATAAGCTTCACTTGTATGTAATGGAATCTTTGAATTCAATTTTTACCCACTATTAAAGGTCAGATGAATTCGAAATTTTGCTCACTTGTCCAAGACCGATGTCAATACAATAATTTAATATTTTTGTTCCATTGTTCTGATCAGGATCTTCAGGACTAACGATCCATTTCCAGGTTTGGCGACTAAAAGATTAAGAGAGTTGCAGCTTTCTTCGATTAACTATAAAAGGGTGTTTTTTATTTTTAAACTGTAACGTATTTCTTCTAAAAAGTATACCTCCTTCCGTATTTTTTTTGGCTTTCGTTATTATTATTATTGGCTGTTTATTTTGATTCCTTAGCTTGATTAAGTTTTTTTAAATATTGCTATAGGGAACTTTTGCAGTCTAAAATTATAATGGCTTACATTGGCAAGTTACATTTCTTATGTTACTTCGAATTTCATAGGGCATGGGGCTTACATAAAAGTTAGATTTACGAAAAGTATTTTGATTAAAACAAAATGCTGTTCGCAGTTATTTATCATTATCACAAATGTTATTCAAATCCAGCGATTTTTCTGTAACTTGTGTGCTTTTGTATGTGTTTTAAGGAAATTCTGTTCATATAAGCCTCATTCTTTTGATTATATAAATTCTTTCAATGTATGTATATTTTTTAATTCAAAATGCATCATGTGATTTAAACATTTTGCTTAAAGGTTATGATGTCTTAAAATTATATTTTTATTGTGTGTATTATTAAAAGAATCAATGTAAGTTGTTAATTATTTTGACAATTTTTATTTAAAAAATATATTGCATGATACTTCATTCACCGTATAAATAGCTATACACGTCATATTTAATATTATTATTTTATACTTCAATATGTATGTAAAAATTTTATGAAATTATTATTACCATTCTGAAATCACAATCGCATTTTAAATATATTTGGAGGGGGAAGGAGTATGACGACTAAAATAATAAAAGTTTTTTACACACTTTTGATAATAATTTTTAAAACATCAAATTAAAAACTACTCCATTTAATTTTAAAAAGAACGAACAAACAAATATAAATTTTAGCATTTTATGTCCCATACCCTCTTAGAAAAAAATTAACCTTTCAGCTTTAGTTTTAGTCTTAAGTATAAAATATTTTGCTCTAGTTATACAACAATAATTTTAAAATATTTTTTTAAGATTTTAGAGTACATATTTTTAGAAAGAAACCTGTTTGCAGTTCCTTTTTAAATTTAAAAGATTTCCCATTTGCAAAAAAGGGCATTTATAAGAATGTAGTATATTTATTATTTTATTTTTAATGGATCAACGAATTAGTAAAATTTGTGCTACAGCGGCTGATTATTAAAAATATATAAGTTTTATAATGATGACTCATTAAAACGCATGAAATTACTATGCATACTGATAATATGGTTACATTTATAAAGGGCCAAATATATATAGAAATTCAAATCATGCTTTCAAAAATCATGAATTTGTTTTGTTTTCAAAAGTACTGACTCTTTTTAAGAGTCTTTTGGATAAACAAGTAATATAAAAAAAAAAAATTTAAGTCAATTCCTACTTAGGTCAACAAAAAAATTTATTTTAGTTACTTTTTATTAAATAATTGCAATTAATGTACATATGTATATTCATATGACAGAATCACAATATTAAATGACAAAATAGAAAGCGATTTTCCAGTAAAATTAACCATTTTCCTTTCTATATAGGGTGTTGGACTATTATTTTTGTTTGTTACTATTAATTCAATAATTAAATTTAATTATTCCAATAAAATAATATAGTAAAATGAAATCATACTCTCAGAAATTAGGCCAGCTCAGTTGGGATTCGAACCCATGACCTTTGAACGAGAAGTCCAACGCGCTATCCTTTGCGTTAAAGGGACACATCGAGCGATTTTCCTTTCTATATATGCTGTTGGACTATTATTTTTGTTTGTTACTATTTATTCATTTTTTAATTTGTATTTAATTAATATTTGAAAAAACTGTATTAGTATTAAGTGTCATCTACTACAAGTTTAAGAAATGCGTTTGAAATTGAGTGGATGAATAAAAAGTATTTTATTAATGATTGAAAATTTGAACAAGATATATATATATTATATATATATGATTATATAGGGAGAGTGCGAACCGAAAAAAAATTGAAGAATGAAATTTATCATATCCATTCAATTAAATTCTTCAAAAGGAAATATTTTTCCCTCATGCATATAAATTGACCACATTATAAAGCAATTATTTTACATATAGATCTTAGAAATTTTTCAAATTTAAACCTCCATAGAATAAGAATATTTCTTCCCCAAAACCGGAAATAATTTCGTCTTGTACTTAGTTGTTAAGTCGAAAACACGAACCCAAATTTGCATAAATTCTCCCCCCCCCCTCCCTTTGTACTCGTTTTTCTTGTAAAATTTAAATTGAATAAATGTGACATTGCAATTGGGTCTGCGTTCCCATTCCATGTCTTTTCTGCGGCTAAGTGTGTTACTTGTCCATTAGAATTTTCAAAAGAAATACAAACACGCATTGAAATAATCCCTTTTGGGCATACCTAAACTGAAATATATAGACGTCATATTGATTGATAGTGAATGACGGTCGAGGGAGAAATAGATCTTCCGGATTTTTTTTGCGTATTAAATATCTTTGCTTTATCAATTATAACTATTCGCATCGGCATGCAAGTCGCGTATGAATGACGAAGTAATTTTTATGTCACAATTCCAGCTGATATTCAGCGCATCGATCACTGAGATAATGATGGAATGAGGCCATATAATCACAGTTACTATTATTAATTTAGACCGATTAATGTAAAAAAATTATCTCGTGCTGAGTTATTACTATTTTGTTTGAACAAGATATACAGTCGAACCTCTATATAACGAAGTCGCTAAATCCCAGATAAAAGTTCGTTATATGGAAAATTCGTTATATAGAGGTTCATCTTTTAATATACTTTATAAACCACATAAAACCAATTTTAAATTCATAAACACTATATATTCAAAAAAGAAATTATTCATACCTTTTTTTAAATTAATACACACACACACACACCATGTTTATTTTATATATCTTTCCCATCAAAAAAAAAGAGAGAAAGAAACAAAAACTGCAAGGAAAACAAGAAAAAATAATGTCGAAGAATTCACTGTATTTTCAATACTAAGAAAATAATTTTATACTCAAATTAATGAATTTTAAGGACATTTTCTAATTTAAAGCACACAAGTAATATTAAACATACATTATTTTATAATTAGAACACGGAGGCACGGGACAGCTCCGCTGAGGGTGAAAGAAGATATTGAAGATGTTTCTAGTGAATTGGACAATGGGGGTTAAAGTTTGCACTTCTTGGATGAAACGTCCAGAACTGTATTGCTCTCGGCGAGTTAGGATCTCATAAAACCAATTCAAGATTTACGACCACCATAGTAAGATGTGTTAAAGAATAACTTGAAATGTTTAGAAATACTTTTAAAAAAAGGGAAGGAATTGAATCTCAAAAGAAAAAGTTCGTTATGTAGAAAATGCACTTCGCTATAGATAGGTTATATTACGAAGAAAATCACGAAATGTTCAACGTTCCAAGAAAAAGTTCGCTATATAGAAAATTCGCAGTATAGAGGTTCGTTATATAGAGGTTTGACTGTATATAAGGAGACTGTGAACTAATAGTAGGAATTGAATAAAACCTCTTACTCTACAAAAGTTTCCTTCTCTTCTTTGTAAAAAGAATTTTTTTAATATCTTGCTTCACCCCTCTGTGAAAGGCGACGAAAACTACTAAAAATTCTTGAACTGTTCCTCATTTTTTTCTCCCAGTGGTATTATTGGATTGCTATCTATTTCTCATATTACTATGACGGAACTATTGGCTTTCCCAAGAGAAGAATCAACATTTTTAGATCTTAAAAAAATAAGCTCCCTGGGAAAGATGAACGGATCGCTTCATTCAAAGTATGTTATTTCCGCTAAAATAACTAATTTTGAGTAATAATTTCTCATCGAAAGGGATGTAAGATGTTATGTTTAATTGCACTAATTTGTGAAAGAATTTGTTTTATAAAATTTATGGGATTAGTTTAAAAAAATAGGACATTTGAAACGGAAATCAAACAATGCCGCGCGTGATATTTTCTCATCTATTAAACGTTGCAATAAATTGTATTATTTTATCTTTTATTTTTCATTCAATTCCTACTATTAGTTCACACTCTCCCTATATATATATATATATATATATATATATATATATATATATATATATATATATATATATCTTGTTCACATTTTCAATCATTAATAAAATAATTTTTACTCATCCACTCATGTTCAAATACATTTTTTAAACTTGTAGTGGATGACACTTGGTGTTCATACAGTTTTTTTATTAATTCATTAATTCTATTTAATTAATGAATAAATAGTAACAAACAAAAATAATAATCCAACACCATACATAAAATAAAAATTGCTCGTAGTGTCACTGTAGCGCAATGGATAGCGCATTGGCCTTCTATTCCAATAGGCCTGGGTTCGAATCCCTCCAGGGATGGCCTAGTTTCTGTGTGAGAATGGGATTTCTTTTTATTATACTATTTTATTGAAATGATTAAATTTAATAAATGAATAAATAGTAACAAACCAAAAAAATAAATAATTCAACACCCTATGTAGAAAGGAAAATGGAAAATTGCAAGGAAAATCCTTTTCTGTTTAGTCACACTTAATGTTGTGATTTTGTCATATGTATATATACATATATATATTTTTTTTATATTAATTGTAACTATTTAATAAAAAGTAACTAAAATAAAATTTTTCTTTGTTGACCTAATTAGGAATTGACTTTAAAAAAAATTGATATTCTTTGTTTTCTTTTGAAATCTGTAGTGAGATTGCTTATCGAAATTCTCCTCTCATCCTGTAAGTTAATGTCACTTAACTTCCATTTATATTTATTGTGCTTGATCTTCAAGCAGGAAAACTTTGCTCACAAGTATATGTTGACCCAAATATGCAAGATTTCTGTCTATTTGGTTTTCTGGCTGATCTTGTCGGGCAGTATGTGGTCCACCCCTGTTCTAAAACAAAATTTTGGCTACAAATGTATTAACTTTCATTTTTATTGTTTTCGTGTTATTGAAAAATTTTTACTAAACTATAAATTTGTTTTTACACTTTATTTACTACAATAATTTAATTGAGTCGCGTTACTACAATAATTTAATTGAGTCGGCTGGGTAGCGAAGTTGGTTTGTCGCTAGCCTTGTACGCCTTTGGTTGCGAGTTCTACCCCGGCCCAAGTCAGTGGATTTTCATGATGCAGAAAGTCGACAGCGCCATGTCACATGACTATGCGGTATGTAAAACATATCTTGAGTGCCTTTTTGACTTAGGTGCTTTTGGCAAAATTAGAATTTTAAGTACGGTTTCGCATCGAAAGAGCTCAAGTGCTTCCCTCTGGGGAGGAAACTGGGTTCCAAAATTACCTGTGGCGATTGATATCCGCCTATATGGTGCCGCCCTAAAAAGAGATACCAACTCCCAGGGAATGTACTAGGTCTGCAACGATAAAGCACCAATCCACCGCCCCATTTGAAATAAAAATAATTTAATCGATCAAATATGTGCAATGTATTCCAAGTTATGTGTAATCTGCTACAGAAGTGTAAAGCTATTATTTTATCATTATCTCTTCCATATTAATTATTTTTAATACAGATCACATTTGATACAGAATTTTAGAATTTATTCTTATGTTACTTTGAACAGAATAAGTTTGGATGAAAAGAAAGAAAAAAACTCATATTTTTAAATACACGCTTTTTTTATTTTATTTCCCCCTATTTTTTTCAAAATTCAAGTTCGAGCACAAACGCAAAAACAAATGAACAATAACATTTAACTGGTCAATGATTCGATGCTGGAAAAGCAAAACGTATGTCACATACATACGAGACTTCATTATTCAAACTATGACCTATGATGAAAGATTTGTGTCATAAAAATAAATATTCTATTAACTTTTCTGTGTAGTAATGATGGATCATCGATCGAACTGATAACGCAGAGACAAATTCATATAATTAAATAGAAGAAAATTTTCCTCCTTTTTTTTATTGTTGTTGGGTTAGTGCCCTAGACCAGTTTCAAATGTCAGAAATTTGAACTCGCATTTTCGCAATACTTTATTGTCGTTGCTTACAATGAATTAAAAACCACTTTGTCATGTGATTTGGGAATCACATCGCTTTAAAAGGCTTTTGTATAATTTTCTTTATGATTAGATCTGTTAGAGAAAGAGAAGTGATAAGATTGAGAGATAAAAGGGGTCAGAAATTCGTACCTTTTTATATATATATTGAAGACAGATAAAATAATGCCCGTCCACCACAAGTATCACACGGTGGTTACAGATGTAAGTAAAGCAAACAAAATAAAATAAAAAGTAAGTAACAAACACAAAAAATACGAAATAATTAACTAACAAAAACAAATAAGTAACAAAGACAAGAATAAATTACAAAATAAAAAATAATTACGAAACAAAACCGATGCAATAAAGTTACAAAAATAGAAAAATGAAATTTTTTTAAAAAATTACAAAATCAAATCAATGAAGATACAAAATAAAATGAACGAAGCTTTACTTGAGACAAGTTGGGGGGGAATTAGAGAGCCAGTTGATTTTAAATTACACTGCATTCTTGGTGGGATCCTAGTGAATGGATCATGGAGAAGAAAATCTTACTTAGAACTCTACAAAATTTACAAACAACCTGATATTGTAAAATTTGTCAAATTACAGAGACTTAAATGGGCTGGTCATCTGGCTAGAATGAATGAAGATTGTTGCTGTAAA